GCCCTGCGAGTATGGAATGTTGTCATTAGCTAAAAGTCCCATTCGATGCAACTATTTCTTAGTGCTAGTTTCTTAGGGAATTTTTTGTTAGATTCTTCGAGAACGTGTAGTTCACCATAAATTGACAATAAATTTTAGATACATTCATTACTTTATTGTGTTCTCTAGGTGGTTAGTTTTGTCAAAGTTTGGTAAATGATTGCTTGCATTGCATAAATAAGATTCCTAAATCAATTTTGTGAAAAGAATTTATTCAGGGAAGCTCGTAATAAACAGTATAAAAGATAAATGAAGAGAAATTGCAGTAAGAAATATCAGGCTTCTATTTTTTTAGAATATCCAAAAGAGCTGATATATTGGTGTATAGAGCTGAATTTAGGAGCTTGTATGATTCCATAACTAAATATTTATAGGAGCACAAAATGTGCCCAATTTATCAAAAGAATAAACTGCTGTTGCTATCTCAGTTGCAACAAGTTATGCAAACATCTGTTAATTTGAATAGAACCCACCACTTAACTTCGTATAAATATATTATATGCGTTTCAGCAATTGATCCAATTGCAGCAACCAAAACATCATTACAATTTAACAAACTGAGATAAAGACAGGTTTAGGAATAAAAGGACTTGTGAATCTCTGAAGTTTAAATAAAATTTATTTTTGATGACTTTGCTTTTTCTTGAACCTGGACCCTGGTGCTCTTTGGCACTTCCAACTCTAAAAAAGTGGCTAAGTTGCACCATTGCTGCCCTTGAAAAAACTATTGGACATTTATCAAACGTCGCAATGCAATTCATTTGTTGAGGCTTTCCAAAGATGATCTCATGTGGCTGGTGTTCAATTCTTCTCACAGAATCAATATCAAAAATTATATTCATATGAAATGTTTTCTTCAATCTCAAAAATAAGAACTTTTCAGCATCTAAGATTTTTTCTTGTGGTTTCATCTACTTTGTTATCACTTGGTTCACCATTAACCTTTGATAAGTTCTCATGTGTTACAATCAAACTTAGATCTACTTGTTTTGCATTACCTGAACTGATTATTATTTAAAGAGGAAGGTGTCAACCTAAATTGACGTGGTAGTTGCTAAAATTCTACTTCCTTTGGATCTCCTAGTGTGTTGAGCTCACAATGAACCCACGATAGCATAAAGGATTCCCAAAGCCAATTCCAAATTTATCAGGAATAAGGCTTTGTTTGTTGTTGAACTGATTATAGTACTTGAAAAATAAATTTGGAAAAGTGATTTAAAAAATAAATATTTTTAATTATATTATTTGTCACTTGGTAATTAAGCAGCTTCCTAAATCTTGAAGAAAAGGGATTGAAAACATGTTTGAGCGGGGCTTCTTTGGTACTTATGTGCAGGAGATGGAAGTGATTGCCTGGAGGACCAGGGTTTTTTAATGTTTTCGGGCCTATGAAAAATTTGCAAAGAACTTGTCTTTCATGTCATGCTTTCAGAATGTTTCATGCCTTTGCTCTTAGCATTAGGAGTATCTTTCGTGCATGTTACTTGGAGTGGGTATCATGCTTATGTAATTATGCCCCTGTTTTTTGGCCATTAGTTACAAAAGCAATGTTTTGAATAAAGAATTATTGGAGAATGTATGATTAAAAGGTAGTGAAATACTTTGGGTTTACATTCAGAATATTTTATTGTGTGAATGTGTGGTAGAAAATGAGTATATTGAAAAAAGAGTTCTAATTTAAATGCTATCGAACGGGGTCTATGTTTACATCTGTACTAAAGATTTAATTTCAAAAGTGGAATATTGCCAATTGGCTAATTTTGGTAATGTATAATTATTCCCTGCACAGGTGGCACTCTCTTTTGCAGCTTGCATATACTTCCTCAATGACAAGACCAAGAGCTTGCCTAGAGCTGCTGTTATTGGGTGAGTTTTGTGGGAGACGAGCTTTGAAATCCTATTTTTCCCCAATTTCAGGTCAACTATCTATTAGTTACTTATTGGTGAATGTTTGTTTTATTCATGGCAGATTTGGGGCTCTTGTTGTCGGCTGGATATGCGGTTCTTTCTTGGTTCCATTGATCCCATCATTTCTGTTGCAGCCGACGTGGACTCTTGAACTTCTAACGTCATTGGTAGCATACGTTTTCATGTTTTTGGGATGCACTTTTCTCAAATGAAACTTCACTGCATGTCTTCTGACCATGCCATCCTTGTGGAACATGTAACTGCAGAGCTGATGTTTTACAAGTTCCATTGTACTTGAATCATGATTTTCTGTGATCACCATATAAATTTTGAGAATAGAGTTGTCTTACATGCAATCTTCATGCTTCCTTTCTATAATGGTCGTTCACCTTTTAAGCTCCTGCATCACCTCCTCTTTTTTTATATGGTATTTTGATGAAATTCTATTTATGTAAAATAGATGAGTAAAGACTTGATCTTGTGCTTAAAATATTCTAAACACGCTCTAGAGGACTAACGAAGCTCCAATTTTCCCTTTTTTCATCATTTTCGTTGTCCTTTTTGTTTAATCCTCACAGACCCTTAATTGTGATTTTATTTTTTCCATTTTTCATTGGTTGCTGGAGGAAAGGGACGCCATGATTTTATTATCGTATGCTTAGAACATACAACTAAGGTAGGACTGGCAGGACTAGCCTTGAAAATCCTGTACATAGTTAAACTTAAGTGATTGCAGTTCTGTGATTGGTGGGGTAGAAGAGATTTGTTTTTGAGACGATTGAACTTTACGTAAATGTGATTATAACAATTGGTATTAGGGCAAACACCCTTCCAGGATAACTGTTGTTGGAGACAGGGACATGTTGGTAGGGCTACTTCTAATAAAAGACCAAGGTGAGAATAGAGGTCATAGTTGATGGTTCTAAAAGGTGTGGATTTTAATAATCATAATTGTGTCTCACATCTTCGAGTTAATGCTCAACTTGTGGGCTTAAAATCATTTAGGTAACTTTTGAGTTTTTTGGGGTGAGTTCTACTAACACCAAACTAGTTGCATAGTAGCAGCAATGTATAGAAACAGGATGGTTTTGAAGGATTGAAACGCGGAGGTGGTAGGGTTGTGGGTTTCACGAAAACTTGCAACAATTTCCTATTCGAGTATGGCGAAATATATTGAAATTTCCGTGAAGTATTCCTGCCTTGACTTTTCGTCTTGCCTTATTTAAATCTTTAGGGAATTTGAAGAGAGAAAATGTTATATTGTTCTGAGTGGTTGAAGTAGATTGAAATATGGGCCAAAATACTATGATATAAAAAATTTCCAATATTATTTACTGTGGCTCCGGTCACCAGGGGCGGACAAAATAATGGTTTTAGTTCTTTTAACCTAGAACCATTTGGATTGATTCTTGTTCTAAAATCGAGAACCAGAACCAAGCTTAATGTTTTAATACACACACAGAGAAAACCTAAGTTTGTATTCATTGAGACAGCTCATGAATCGGTTATGGGTCATTAGAGACAATTCATTAATTTGTATTCATTTGAATAATTTTTCTCAAATCATTTTCAATTTACACAATGCTATGACAAGCTGGCACCACATTTAGATTGAAAAATAAAATTGATCAATCACTTAAAAAGCCTTTAAACTATTTTTTTACCTTGATTGTTTGATGAATTATTTGTGTTCTTCGCAAATAAATAAAAATCCAATAAACTTTAACTGAGTATTAAATGGTTAATGGTTGTTAGTAAAAGTGGACCGTAAAATAATTGCATAATTCATCATTTATTGTGGGGGTGTGTTGTCAAAACTGTGGCAATTAATTTAGTGAATCATTATTATTACTTATTGAACAATCTTATGAGAACGAAAATTGATCTGTGTATTTAAATTATAGCTATACTTTGTTTGTTAGTTTGAATTTTGAGATCATGATGATTGATAATTTGAACTTGCTGAATGTTTGATTTTTATTTATTTATTTATTTTTTTTAAAATTTAGGTATGTGTTACTAACTTTTGAATGTGGTGCAAGTCTGAAAATTTAAAAAATGAAATTAGAATCAAACCGAACCGAAACAAACCAGAACCAAATGGCCCAATTTCGATTCTGGTTTGGTTCCATATATTTAAAAAATAATAATAATAATAATAAATAAATTGATTTGATTCCATTATTCAAAAAATCATTGGTTCATGGTTCGGTTTGATTATCTTGAAACTAGAATCTTATGGAATTATATCCACCCTAGTCGTTATTTACATAGGTGAGTAATTTCATTTAGTTGTGTGTACTGTACCTCGTTGATTTGGTAAGTTTTGAGGTTTCATGCCACAAATCTAAACAGTATTAGACAATCAAGAAGTTCAATCCTTAATCCTGGCTTCAGTAGCCCCGTCCGGGGGACGGTTTTTTGGCCTGACAATAACTGCAGTTTTTTACGAGGATGAACAGGCTGGTTAAGTCGTCAATTCAACCAGTCCTCATCGAACCAATCCATAATTTGAACCGTACTATCCTCGATCCATTTGGTTTGGGTTAATCGGTTTGAGCTTCGACGGTCCTTTTGTTGACATCGGCTAAAAAAGACACGATTTGGATTTGAGAATTGAGATGAGAGTCCGAGGGGGTGAGGTAACGATTTGTCCTCTAGGTTTTTGGTCCCTTTTGAAACCCAACAAAACAAAAAATTCTTTTAAAAAATTGACGAACTCAAGAAAACCAACCTAGACCGATTTGGGTTTTCTAATTTCGTGGTCCAAATGTCCAACACTAGCAAATGTAATGAAAATAACACTTCAAAAATTATTATAAGCTAATTTAGAAACAATATAATATGAAAATGAAAGAGAGAAGTACGAGTGTATGGTGGTGATCGAACATAATTTAATAACTATCGTCCAGCATACAAAACATTATATCTATGGCTAACTCGCTCTATTTTGTACTTTGCTAGGAGACTTCTCTACTCAGAGAAAGCAACATCCATATGAAAAACTACATAAATAAAATTCATTGAAAGTACTTACCAAAAAAAATAATAATAATAATAACTAAATCAACAGCAATAGAATCACCAGAGAGTTTATTGCATCCACATTTCACATTTAATTCATTAAGCAGGGCCACTGTATTTCTGGTATCCACTAGAAGAATTGCTTTTGAGTGCACAACATCCAATGGAGTAGACAATAATTACAATAACAAGTATGATTGAATTAATGATGGCTATAAGTCTCCAATCTTTCTTAATATTGTTCAGTACAGCCGTCTTGCACGACTCACAGTCGAAGCAGAGTTCTTTCTGGATGTTGCTCCACGTCTTGCAATCCCGATTGGGCACAGCGGGGCTGGTTTTAGGCACTATCCAATAGGTTGCATTCTGGGACTGGAAGCCACAGTATGCTGGTGGTTGGCAGCAACCCGACTGGATGGAAGAAATTAAGCATTAGATCTGCCTATGGTAATTTCACATTCGATCCCATGCCCGACTATTAATATAATATGCATGCACGATTAGATAGAAATAAACATGGAAACAAATAATGAACAAAACAAAAGTACATATGATACGATGATATAGAAACAAAGACGAACATGGTTTTGTGATCAATACCAGAATACATATATCTGATACCACAAGATTGAAACATTTTATGGACGAAATCAGAAAACATTCAATACGATGAGATAGAAACAGACGCAGACGATTAAATACCTGAATTAGAGACAGATTACGCATAAAAAATTCCTCCTCGCCCTTGTTCGCCGTTAAATGCCGACACAAATTCACATCAACCAGGCAATTCTTGATTTCATCCCAGTTTTCTGCATTAATCACGTAAGTCTGCAACCAACGCGAATAATCTCCAAGCCTGTGTTCTCCAATCCTTTTTTCCGACAATGCTTTTCCGATGTGTTTATTCGTAACAACAATAGTAAAAACGGTAAAAGCCACCAATCCGACAATAAGCAAGAACAAGATTATAAGATAAATCCACATGAAAGATGAAAGTCTGCTGCACGATCCAAATAACCCTAATAACGAAACAATTGAAAGCGCTAAACCCACAAATAATAGAGGTTTTTGGAGAATTTTGTGACAATGGGTGTGTGAATTTAGACCGAACCAAAGCGATAAACCAATGGCGGTTAAAGAAATTACGAACGTTAGAACGTTAATCAGTGTGATGATTCCATTGCTGACACGAACCATTTTTCTTACTTCTTTTTGAAATCAGATCACTAGAGAGAAACGGCGAAACCCTAGGATCCGATGATTATGATTTTCTCGTCTGTGTGCGTAAATAGGAGGAGTTGGTGGAGGAAAGAACGCAGTTGCCAGCAAAAGATCGGGTATATCTATGGTGGAGTTATTGTAAAGCTGAGAAACAGTTTTTGTATGAGAATTTGAATTCAGAAAATTGCTTTAGAGGTCCCAAACTTATTAATAAATGTTCAAATTGGATCTTTACTTTCAAATATTGACAGATCCAACATCAACCTTCAAATCTTGATTTTCATTGCCCACTTATTTTACATTTACAAAAAGTGGCAATGTGTTTTCACCTGTAATTTTAGTTTCCATTTGGATGGATTTCATCCGTAAGGTCTTTCTCTACTACAAATACAAAAATTCTTTCGAGATTTTAAGGTTTTGGATCCATTCACATATGTTGAAAAGGTTAGGGACTTTTTAGAATTTTCTCAATTTAAATTGAGATTCCATATTTTGGAGCCCTGGTTTTGTCGTAATCTACTGAAATACCATGATTGATAGGAGTCTGAAAAGGGGTAAATTGGGGAATTTGAATTCGATTTAATCACAAAAGCTGAGGTGTACAATTAAGAGTTTAACACGTATTCATTAAAGAAAGCAGTGTGCACTTTCATGGTAAACTCGAAATTAATGACAAAATTTTTATTATAAAATGGTCAAATAAAAGAAAAATTAAAATTGCAGTTTGAAGAAACAATAAAGCCAAAAGTATAGAAAAACTTTTAGCAAAATTTGTACAGAAAATGACGTGGCAAAATGTAAGTGAAATATTTTTTTTCCTTTTTTCTTATGTTTCAATGATGTCGTGCCATGTGTTGTCTGTAAGATTTTTTTTTTTTTTTGGTCAAAAAATTCTGTACTTGTCATATGATTCTTATAGAAAATACAAATAGGAATATCAATAGCGCCTGAATTTTTTTGACGGGGGGTGACTGACTCTCACAATGACGAGGACACCACTTTTTTTGGACTTTTTTTATTCATGTGGGACCCATAACATGTGAGAGAATATCAACTATTTGAGCAAAAAAATTCGGACAAATTAGCAAAATTCATAGGATACACCAATAAGTCATCTTGTATTTGAATCTAAGCGTCTATAACTTCCTTTTTTAGGAAATTAATAATGCAAATATGCGTATAAGAGAGTGAATAATTAGAATGTACAAGTTGATCGCAACGGGCAAGTCCCTTGTTTCTAGTTGGTCAACCACATGGGGGTAGATCACATATGGGGCATGTTGAACATGGGGACGTATATTGCATGTATATAGTTTTTTTATTTTGAAATAGTTTTTTATTTTGAAATTAATTCTTTTATACTAAATGCGACTTGAACTCAAATCGGTAAGATTTTGATTATACAACTCTAGATATCAATCTCACATCCATAGTTGTTAGACCTAGTCAAAATACCTAATAAGAACATCTTCAAGAGATCTGATAGAACTCTCCATTTTGTGAATTTCAAAAGTTCGGTCAATTTAGTGCAACTAATAAATTGATTTCCATTAAAAATTGACAAATTCAAACCAGTCGAGGATAGTTTAATTGTTAATTGGTCCAAATATATTAACCAATTCAGACAATAACCCGATTCATCGATTCTTCAACCAATTTGATCCAAATTAAATAATCATCTATACGTACATATACAGCCAAATTGACCGAAATTTTGGGATTCACAAAATAGAGAGCCAAGTTTCAAACCCAAGATTTCATGGCTGTTGAATTACACTACTAAAAAATTGAGTTTCATGCACGAATTTCTCGTTTCTAAAGCCTCAATATCCGTTGCCAATAATTTTTACCGACGGAATATTTGCAACCACAAATTCGTTGATAATTTGAGGGTCGCTAATAGTTATCAACGGATCATGTCGTAGGTAAAGAGTAAACATTTTATCAATGAATTTTCCGTTGGTAAAGTGTGAATCTTTTACCAACGGATTTTCCGTTGGTAAAGTGTGAATCTTTTACCAACGAAATTTTCGTTGGTAAAAGTTTTAACCAATACCAACCGACTTTTCGTTAGTATTATCTACCATTACAATTGGTAAAAATCAATATTGTAAATAACCTATGGTAAAAAAGTTATTTATTATTATTATTATTTATTTAATAATTATAATATATATATTTTTTGATTTTTAGCCAACTAAATTGAAAGGTCAAAATATTGTTTAACTTCTTATTGGGCCACAAATTTATAGAGGGCAACTACAAAGATATTGTTGTAAACTTCCATAGTGGGATAAGTGAATTATTTTTACCAACGAATAATTTGTTTCTCATTACCAACGGAATATCCGTTGCTGAAAAATCAAAATGTTAAACGGTTATATTAGGCACGGAATATCCGTTGGTAAAGAGATATTATTTTTACTAACGGATAATCCGTTTCTAATTACCAACGGAATATCCGTAGGTAAAAGATCAAAATGTTAAACGGTTATATTAGGTATGGAATATTCGTTGATAAAGAGATATCATCTTTACCAACAAAAAATCCATTGCAAATTATTGTAGCTAAAAGTGAATTACTTTTATCAACAAATAATCCGTTTCTAATTACCAAAGGATTGCATCCATTGGTAATATTCGGTGCATCAGCTACGAAATATCCGTTGGAGGAAAATCCAAATGTTAAACGATTACATTAGTCACAGAATATTGGTTGTTAAAGAGATATCATCTTTACTAACGGAAAATTCGTTGCTAATTATCGTAACTAAAAATGAATTACTTTTACCAACGGATAATTCGTTTCTAATCACCAATGGATGCAATCTGTTGGTAATTTTTCATAGGCATCCGTTGGTAATTTTTCATAAGTGAAAAGCTATTTTTTAGTAGTGTTAATATAATATACTCAATTGCTTGGTATGAATATCTGTGTACAAATTTATATATAGCGTCGTTTGAGATTATAACTTTTTTAAAAAAATATTTATTTGTCTTTATACAAAACATGAAATCTATATTTAGTTATATTAAAAAGATAAGTTGAAAATATATAATATTTCAGTATATATATATATTTTTAAACAAATAGAATGCACTTTAACTTTTGAACTTATGATTATATCTATATCATTTTAAGGGGGAAAAAAAAAGTTTGTCTTACATGTTGACTAAACACTTTACTTTCAAAATTCATCCACTTAGAGTGCCTTTGAGAAACTCTCAATTTTCAGAGAGTAATATTCTATCATTCCGAGAGCATCTATAAATTAAAGAGCTAAATTTTGAAGTACTCTAATAAGCTCATTATATATATATATATATATATATATTGAAAATGAATATTAATATATTTAGTCACAAGAGGTGAGATACATTAAGCCACTTTTTTTGTAATTTTCGAAACCTAGGACTATTTCCCTGTCATTTGCATCTATGAATGATGCCTGGTGGAAATTGTGCATAATGGAATTGACTCCCTTCATCTAGTTTACAATATTGCAAACTAATAGAGATTGAAATTTGAAAAAGAGATACGAGTAGCATGGAAACATATAAAATATTTTCACCTTACCGATGAATTCTATAATTATTTCTATAATAGTTTGCATGTATAATTGTTATAAATTCTTCTTTTTATAATGCTATCTAACTCTCCATACATAGAGACGTTTCTTTATAATTCACATAATAAAAGTTTAGCAAATCAACTTTACTACCCACTAAAACTATGTTTCTAGATACGAATAGCAAGTTGGTCTCCAACTTTTGAAAATGAACAACGTTGTAGTGGATCTTTCATTGTAGTTACCCAATCAATTTTAAATTACAAAACCTTCGTCAAATCGTCACATAACTCTCCTAGAATCAAGCCTCACGTCAAACATTTGATAACTAGTCCAAGTTGGGAAACAAAACTTGACCTCAAAAACTAGAGCAAGTGAAATTCAAATGACGATTTAATAGTGTTTTAAATGGGTTTCCATAATAGAGGACTTCTTATGCAACTATAGTAATGACCGATGGTCAACTTGCTTATTTTTTAATGGTTGAGGACCAATTTGCTAGTTGATACTCAAGCAAATAAGTTGGAGACTAATGGTAGTACTAAAAAGTGTATTACATAGGGAGATATTTTCAAGAAAACTATATTTTCCTCCCAGGTAAAAAAAAAAAAAACTAGAAAGATTTCTAATGTCTATATCTCATCTAGAAACTGCTGAAGATCATCCAGCATTTAGTATTCCTCAAAATTGTTCGACATAAAGACTAAAAGCTGGGCAAGTTGCTGAAAAGTGTGTTTTGCACATTTATTTAGGTCGCAAACATGACTGAATATCGAGCAAAATGATTGAATTATGACTTAATATTATTACATTTGTGAATTGTAGGGAACAACGAGGAATATGGTGAAATTCAGGAGAAAAGATGCGAAAAAGGACTAAAATGACGCAAAGTGAAAGTTCAGGAACCAAGGTGCAATTATCCAAAAGTTGACCCGATGAACAAATCAAGAAATTGATTAAGCTAATTGCCGATTGATGATATCTTGGGATGAAAGAATGGAAATAATGAAGAAAAAATACCAAGAAGTGAAAGATTCAAGTAGAAGGACCAAAATGAACATATTTCATAGTTGGTAGCATAGTGCTACCCTCTATGGGGTCGCATAGAGGCATACCGAAAGTAAAAGGTTACAAAAAATTTACTCTATGCGACCGCATAGAGCATTTCTAGGGGTGAAATTGTTGTTTCCTTTTTTCGTCGAAACTCTTATGGAAACAATATTTTTAGGGTCCTACATAAACAAAAACTCGACCAGAAAGAGGGGAACGCCATTTTTACAAGTTTTTGAGAGATTTTGAAGGAGAAACGAGGAGAGAACAAGAGAACAACATCGCGCCAAGTGAATATTCGATTGAAGATTGATTCGGGTGATGACGTTTCTTCAACTATTTTTATGTTTTCTTCTTTTTAGCATGTTAGGCTAGAATTTTCATTGTTAGGAGATCGATGAACCTTGTAATACTACGTTTGATTTTTGATTTGGATTTTTGACATATTAAAACACATGTTCCGGAATTGAATGATTTATTACATTTTTTT